GGGAACATGGTTGGTTGATTGTTGTATTTGTTTAGATTGATATATTGTTTTGTATATATATAAGATATATATGTATTAGTGCCTGCATACAAATGGATGCAGCATGAGGGTGACATGCCAGAGCTGGTGCAATGGACAGCCCAGCTGGAGTACACCTCCATCAATGCACGTGGATAACAAGCAGAAGGAGCTGGAAACCATTGTGCAGTAGGAAAGCAATGATGTATTTGCCATCATAGAAACTTGGTGGAATGACTCTCATGACTAGTGTGCTGCAATAGATGTCTATAAATTCTTCAGAAGGGATAGGCAAAGCAGAAGAGAAGGTGGGGTAGCTCTGTACATTAGGGAGTGTTTTGATTGTGTTGAAAGTGATGATGATGAAGATTACAAGGTTGAGTGCCTATGGATGAAGATCAAGGCAAAGATCAGCAAGGCAGGTGGTGGGAGTCTGTTAAACCACCCAGCCAGGATGAACAGACTGATGAGGCATTCAACAAGCACTGGCAGAAGTCTCACAGTCTCCAGCCGTAATACTTGTGGGCAACTTCTGCTTGCCAAGTGTCTGCTGGAAATGCAACACAACAGAGGGAAAGCAGTCTAGAAAGTTCCTGAAGTGTGTCTGTGAATCTAAGGATGACAGCTTCCTTACACAACTGGTAAATGAGCCTACTAGAGGAGGTGCCCTGCTACACTGGTGGACTGTAAACAGAGAAGGACTGGTGGGTTATGTAGTGGTCAGGGCTGTCTTGGGCATAGTGACCATGAATGTTAGTTTTCAATACTGAGTGAATTAAGGAGGGGCACCAGCAGAGCTTTCACCTTGGTCTTCCAGCAGGCAGACTTTGGCATGTCTAGGAGATTGATTGACAAGAGTCTCTTGGGACTCAGCCATGAAGAGCAAAGGAGTCCAGGAAGGCTGGATGTGTTTTAGAAAAGAACTGTTAAGTATTCAGAAGCAGACTGTCTCCACATGTAGAAATACAGGTTGCCAGGAGACTTGGTTAAAGACTGACCTGGTTAAACAGAGAACTTCAGCTGGAACTTAGGGAAAAAAATCTATTGTCTCTGGAGGACTAGGTAGTTTCACAGGACTATCAGGTTGCAATGAGACCATGCAGGCAGAAGATTAGAATGGCCAAAGTTCAGCAAGAATTTGATTTGGCCTTCAGTTAAGGACAATGAAAAAACTTTCTATAAATACCTTGGCAGCAAAAGGAGGGCCAAGGAGAGTCTCCATCATTTGTTAAATACAGAGGGCTGTGTATTGACAAAGGATGTGGAAAAGACTGATGTACTTAATGCCTTTTTTGTCTCAGCCTTTAATACCAAGATCAGTTGTCCTTAGGATATGCAGCCCCCAGAGCTGGAAGTTAGGGACAGGGAGCTGAGTGAAGCCCACATAATCCAGGAGGAGGTGGTTAGTGACCTGCTTTGCGAGTTAGACACTCACAGGTTTATGGGTTCTGATGGGATCCACCCCATAGGAATGAGTGAACGGTGGAAGAACTTGCCAAGCCCCTCTCAATCATCTATCAGCAGTCCTGGTTAACTGGAGAAGTTCCTGGAACTGGAACCAGAAGCTGACTGGACATTGGGATTGGTCAGTCCCGCTGTGCCTGCAGTGAGAGGACAAAAGGAAATGGCCTTAAACTGAGATAGGGGAGATTCAGATCAGTAATTAGAAAAAAAATATTAACTGCAAGGTTGTCAGGCACTGGAATAGGTTGCCTGGGGTAAGTAGTGGAGTTACTATCCCTGGAAGTGTTCAAGAGGCATCTGGGTCTGGTGCTGATGATGTGGTTTAGTGTTTTAGAGACTACAGTCATAGTTCTGGGTGGAGAGTTGGACTTGATGATCTTGTAGGTCTCTTTCAACTTTGATGATTCTAAGGCAAAGACTGCTGTGGCTGAGACAAAGGACAGAGAACAGGCTTCTTAACAAATCAAATGATCTAAATCTAAGTTAGTCTGTTCCCAAGAGTCACTTAAAATTACTCTGTTCTGTGGCTGATTTATTTATAACTTTAGAGTTTCAATGGGAACAAAACAGTAGGCCAAAATCTGACCTCAGAATATAAATCTAGAATCATTTTGCTCTGATTTTTTTCAATTTTGATGGCATTACTTTGTGTTCATTCTATTGTAATTGAGGTCAGAATCTATTCTCTTTTATCTAATTTTGAACACAAAGAACAGCAGGATGTACATTCAAAGCAGGGCTGCAAGCACCTCAATATGTGTATTTGTACCTTGAGGCTGACCAGATTTCAAGCCTCTTCTGTGTGCCAGGGAAAGACAGACAGGCTGACAGGCTGTTCAAGGCTGAGGAGTGTAGGTAGGTCACTACAAAGTTACCAGTTGCTTTCAGTGATACTGTGAGATGCCTTTTAACTCTTTAAAACTGTGTCAGTTTGTAAATGAGTTTTGCTGGAATAGGAAAGAAATCAGAGAGCCACTACCAATTCTGCTGTGCCCAGATGATATATTTGTGATAGCAGCAATGTTTCTTTAAATTTTATTATTTGTTTAAGAGAAAATGAATCAGATACAACTCCACAAAATAGGAAAAATTTTGCAACAGCAAGTGAAGGTACTCAATTTGTCTGAAATCTTGATTCATGTGAGGAGCAGAGGGAAACACTGCAAGTTTGTTACGAATCGTAGGCTGTTCTATACTATTTTTCTAATGTGTTGTTTACATGTTCTCAAATTGACTGTATAATGCATCTAAAAAAATGTCAGATGAAAGTCCTCTCTTGAAGCAGAAACAGTGTTCTGTGGCTTTTGCACTTACTGCCTATAGCTGTGAAGTGGGAACGTGGCCTGAAGAGAAGTTAAAGGGTTTGTCAGCTTGGTTTATCCAGATTGTTTTAGTCAGTTAATACAGAAGTAGGAATGTCTTCATTACAGCAACATTCTTCAGTAACAACTATGTGCCAGCCCTTGGAAGATGAAACTAATTATTCTCCATTTTGGAACATACCTGTTCTGTATTAGAAAATACAGGGTTTTCAAGAATTCATCTCTCAGTTTGGCAAACTAGCTTGCAGTGAAAAGTGCCAGTTATTCATCTTCTGCCATTTTTAAGACTTCACATTTTCTTGGGTATATTTTTTAATTTCTGGTATGGTTAAATTTTACAGAAATGTAAAGCAGGTTGCTTCTGTAATCGTTCTTGAATTTAGCCATGCTCTAATGGCTGGAATGAGAATGTGATCCCCCTGGTTAATGAGCAGTTACTTGGAGTTTCTATTAAGTTTTTGATAGATTATATTTATTTTGCCCTTGGAAATAGCAACAATTGTCATAATCCAGGTGCTTAGCTAACTGTGTGGAGTTGTGACTTAAACAAGATATCTGTACATACTGTCAGTTCTGTAATTTAACCATGTCTTGAGCATTCAAACCTTCTCCTCCATGACCTTCCATAATAGCTTTAGTACTTAAATGAATGTATTTGACAACAAAAAGCAAACCTTTCTTAAGAAAATAATGTAGCAGTGCTTGATAGATGCATCTATTTTTCTGATCCTTGGTTTGTACATTAGGAATAAGAAGGACACCATTGCATCTCTACAAGCTACCTAAAATTATTTCAAAAGGATTTTGAAATATCTGGTGAACACAATACAGGCCAAAAAAAGCAAGACATTTCCCAACATTATCTGCACTTCAGCAGTGGCAAATGTAGAAGTAGTTCAGGGATACTTCTGCAGGCTGATGTGTTTCCAGACTCATATGCTGATGGACACACCAATGTTAATATCCACAGTGGATATATCCTGGTACGTCCTTGGCCAGGGATTCCAAAATAAGGACACAGTGGATAATTTATGTCATCTGTAATCAAAAATCTGGGTTTGGTATGGAAATTCTCTCTGTATGTCTTCACATCACCCTCAGTGAAACTGGTAAATTTGTCCATTAATTCACCATTCTTATGAGTGCTGAGCAATATTTAACAGGAGACTAAAATCTGAAAACTAGAAAGCTCACGAAAGTGTTTATTTATTATCTCCACCTTCTTTCATAATAAATGTTTATCTTGTTCAGAGCATGAACTGGCTTTTAGGCAGTATGAAAATGCTTGGCTGTGAGGTTTTTTATTTTTTAAAAAAGAAAAAGCTGCATTTATGTGGTTCAAATCCAACGAAAACATGAATTAGATAACTAAAAAATCAGGAAACTGTGCAACAAAGCAAAGTAGCAGTAAAGTTCCAAGCATGGCACTAAAGTCATTATGTCTGAGAGACAATCATAGAAGGAGATGAAACTTTAAGATTTTGGGGACAGTTTAGCGGCACATAACTCCATGCAAAATCAGTCCTTAATGGAGAGTTCTGAAGAAATTATTCATGCCCCATTATTGATGCCTGACAATTTATAAGTAAATGGTGCTCTGCTTTGGAGTTTCCAGCTGCAAAGTCGTGTAACTTTAAAAGTTGAAAGGGCCATTCCTGTATCTCTTCAAGAGATTTTTTATTAAAGGAGCAATCAGATTGGTACATGTAACTGGGAGGAGGTTGAAAGCAAAGGAGTCCTTCTATCAGTTATTTTTAACTTTTTATTAAATTTGGTGCTGTGAAATGCCATGTTGAACACCATGAGCAGGAAGAGTGTGTTACTTCTAAGAAGTACTCTGTATGTATCACTTTGGCAAACAGTTATTGCATTATGTAAATCCGTTGATGGTAATAGGTCAGCGTGCACTTCAGTGAAAATCACCTTTCTGAATGTTACAATACTGGAATTAAATTATACACAGGAAAAGAAGAACCTGTTCCTGTCAATCTTGATTCATTAAAGTTGTTTAAGTATTTGGGTATCTTTGGTGCTAGCTGTCAAATAAATGTATGCATAAAGTCATCTTCTGGATTGGAAAGGAGGCCTAGGAAGTCATAACCTAGTTTGCAGTTACAATCTCACAGTTGGCTGTAAAGCTTTTGTGTTGGGAGGATGACAGGATGGTTATGATAACCTTGCCTTCTCTATTCACAGGTGTTCCCTTTCCAAAAAACTTTCTCCAGATCTGCAAGAAGATACTTTGTCGGCTTTTTCGGGTATTTGTTCATGTCTACATCCATCACTTCGACCGTATCATCCTTATGGGTGCTGAGGCCCATGTCAACACCTGTTACAAGCATTTTTATTATTTTGTGACAGAGCTCAACCTCATAGACCGCAAAGAACTAGAGCCTTTGGTAAGTGTGGGATCTGGGCAAAAGCTATAGGAAATTTTCCTCCTCTCTTCACCAAGACTTTCTCATCATTGTTGCAGTGAGTTTCCTTTAGGAGCAAGGTCTGTTGTTCAACAGACAATTGAAAGAGATGAACTCTGCCTCTCTGCACAGACCCTTCTGCTGCAGTATTTGTGACATCCTCAGTAGGCTCTACAGAAAGAGAAAAGTGCAATGTAAATTGTATGGAAAAATACAAGGTGGAAAATCCTGACATTTGAAAATAGAAGTTAATTTGTCTTCTGCTTCTTCCTGTACCATGTATTTAGTATATAATTTTATTCTGTCTATTTTCACTGGTCAGTAACTCATAGCAGTCACTTGAATGTATATAAAGGGAACAGTTATCTATATAAAGGTGAATTGTGAGGTTTTTTTAAGTCTTTAAGTAGGTGTTTGTGAAGGTATGGAGTGTGCTAGATCCAGAGGACACTCTGATTCTAAGTTAGATGAAGTGAGACAGAGGTTCAGATAATTAGCAGTGTAACAAAACCAACATTTCCTTGTAGACTGAAATAGGTTAAAATTAAAATCATTGTTTCCAGAAGCAAGGGCCCAGAAATGGAAATGTTTTTGCTGTTGCTTGCAAATGCAAATAAAAAAGTATAAGCAGAGAAGGAAAAGTTAGGGACAGTTCAGAAAGCAGTTCAAATCCACACTGTGGGTGTTTAGCCAACTTTAAAAGGCATGAGGGAGATATTTGTCCATAGGTCAGAGTTTGGAATATACTGTATCCTACAGCCTATTAAGAAGTGATAGAATCGCTGGGTTTTGTTTTTTGTTGTGTTTTCTTGTTTGTTTGTTTGTCTTGGGCTTTTGTGTGTTTTTGTGGTTTTTGGGGTTTTTTTGTTTGTTCGTTTGTTTTGTGGGTGTTTCTGTTATGGTTTTTTTTTTTTGAACACAGAATCCCAGGACAGCTGAGATATTGGCTGGCACCTGTGGATATCATGTAGTCCAAATCCCTGTGTCACCTAGAAAGGGTACCCAGGATCACATCATGTTTTAGTTGTTTCACATAAAGGCACATTGCAAGGATGTGTATAGCACAGTTGACATGAAAAAATTCTGACAGTGTAGCAAAGTGATGCTTGCCTGTGTTTCTGCAGGAACTGGAGTAGCTGCACATGTGGTTTTTGTACATACTTACACTGATTGGAGGAGAGTCTGTGAAGTAAGAGAAAATGTATCATCTTGTTCTCAGCAGTTTGCAAGGCCCACTGAAAGACACTCCATTTGACATGTATTGATAAGCTGAAATGTATTTATGTTTTTTCCTGCATAGGAGAATTTAATATGCTCTATAAATATGTCCTAAGGGGTAGAAGGCAACCCTGCTAAAGAGAGTTTTTCAGCCAGAGTAGTGATGCTAGGTTATCCTGTAACTATTAAATACTGAAGTTGAATCAATAGAAATATACAAATCAGAGTATCTCAGAAATAAGAGATCTTAACAGAGGGGACAAAAATGGTTTAATGCTGCAGTTAGTGGGTATCAATATCCCTGCACAAAGCTGACACATGAAGGTTTGGGGCCAGAGTGGTGCAGGAGGTTACTCAAGTCCAGCAGCAGAGCAAGATGGAAAATGTGCTCCAATTTGTGTGTGCTTTCCTTTTGTATTATTCCCTTCACAAAATTATTCTTGGGATCATTGTATGATTATTAATTTTGCTGGGATTCACCATCTCCCAGATAAATGTTTCACTTGCTTCCCTCTTCCTGTCTTTGACGTGGGTGGGTATGAGCAGTGTGGAAATGCAGAAAAAAACCCCATTCCTGTATTTTTCTCTTCAGCTGAGCAAGGGAAATGGAGGGAATGGCCAAACAAAGCAGGCATTACAAATAGATTTGAATTTTAATGTAGTAGTTGAGGTCATTTGGACTAAGGACAGCAGACCTGTGGACTACTGTCAGGTTCACCATGACAGGAAATGAGCCTGCATTATCTCCCTTAATTAGAAAATGGGCCTAGAGATGATTAAATAAACAGACTGCCACATGCTTTAATAAATGGGAAGACAATTGATTTATCAACATAACTTTAAGAAGGGAGAATAATTGGGGAAGTTGGCAGTAGATGAATCATAGTATTAGTCTGCAGGACTTATGCTCTATGTTTAAAATAGATTTTATCAGCCTTTTGCAACCCAGTGCAGCTGTTATAAAATCGAATGAAGCAAATAATTCAAACAGGGTTCTCCCTCCCATCTGGGAGTTGCATAACTTGTCCTTTCTGCAGTCAAAGAGGTGGTTATAGTTAAAAATGCTATATGTCATTTTCCCATACCCATCAGTAGTTTAATTTGACAGATTCTTGAGTCTTTCATAGAGTTGCTTTATATGGGGACAAAAGAGGAAACTAATGTGGTCACTGACCCCACTGACCCCCTCAGGGGGTCCTGAGGAAAAAAACACATGTCCAATCGGTTAATTTAGGGAAAAAGAAGATGTCTGAAAGCATATGATTTCTTTTTTGCAACCAGCAGAGAATGCAGCACCATGAGAGCTCTCAGAAGACCTTTAAATTATGCCTTCATGGGGAGGCTATGGGGAAACATACCTAGCTTTAAGATGTGTTATTTGTTTGGTGCCATTTCCCTGTGTGACCAGCATTATTTCCCACTGTCAGTAGTTCACCTTAATTCACTTCTGAGTCTCTTCCAATGGTCAAAACGCCACAGACATGGGGGTGCTTATTACCTCAATCCCACCCTCAGCCCTTGTAGGTGACAGCTTGTAAAACTTCAAACACAGCATCTAAATATATTTTTTTAGTGAGAATCTTTATGCAGCTGCCTTAGCACATAAATTTGTTGTTCAAACATTAGCAGACCTGCAGCAAGTATTAGCCCCTCTGCTTCCTTCCTGTGAAGCCTTTCCTCTGACAATGTATTCTACAGTATGTAGGACTTAAGAAATATACCCTGTAACTTTATAAGCACATCATAAGTAAAACTCTCATTGTTCATGAAGTTTACTTAATTTATTACCAGTTAACAAAGCTTTTGATTGCTGATCTGTGTATTAAAGAGAAAAAATATAATTAAACCAAACAATTGGCAAAGAAATGCCTTTTTTCATTGGGTTCTAATTCAGTAAAAACTTCTCCCTGCCTGCAGGTCTCCACTCACTGTGAGTTTGCTAGGTTACATTTAGATACTCCTAATCCCTTTGGTGAAGTGAGGGGCAACACCCCACGAAGACTGGGGGGGTGTCTTTTGCTTCTTGCTTCTTACTTATGTTCCTCCACCCCAGTGTGGGTTTTCTGTGGGACATAGTCCCTCCACAGCATCTCTGCTCTGGTGTGCACCCATGACCCACAGCCATTGCAGGGCTGTGTCTGCTCTGGCACACCTTCCTTCCAAGAATATGTCTCCAACAACATCCCAACAGTGCCACCATTTGTCTTCTCTTAACAACTGCTGTTTTCTTAAATATTTGTGAGCAGAGGCACCACGTGCTTCTCTAGCGGAAATTTTGGCACACAGTGGGTTTTTTGCAGTGGTGTTAGGGCAGATGGAAGTAGCTGGATGGCACAGGACAGTATGCCACCATATATATGGTGTATATATATATATATACATATGGTGTATATATACACTTTATGCTACCATAACCCACCCTGCTAGCCCCCTGCCACCAAAACCTTTCCAGTAAGGCCCAGTACAAAGCATCCTCTTCTAAGTCATATGTGATCTGTTGGTTAAAGACTTACTTTCTGTTTCCAATTTTGTTTTAGGTTTTTTGCCTGTCTTTGGGTAACAGGTCTCTTCATCAGTCTTCTTATGCGAAATATAAAAATATTTATCATTTGACAGAAGTCTTGTGAGCTTGAATTTAACAGTGTTTGCAAAATACTCAGGTGCCACAAATAAGAGTTGTACTAAGAGAAGAGCTTGCTCCTAGTTCTACATCCTCCCTTCAACAGCAATCTGGATCTTTGCCACATACAAAAGCAATGGGAAGACCCAAGCTTTCTGTGTTCCTTAACTTGGTGTTTGCTGATATGCTTTGCTGAGTTGTTCTAGGAGTTACTCTGGTGGAAATGGGAGTGAGCAAGCTTTTATGAACCTGGTCTGCTAGGGGCTGATAGGTCCATCTGTCAGATGGGGGGAAGAGCATCTCCATGATAGACTTGCCAAATGTGGTGAGGAGGCCTTTAATCTAAAAGTGCCAGTGGGAGGGGAACCTCAGTCCATCCTACTCCTACTAGTTTGATAGCAGTGCAATCAGTTCATTTCCCAGCAGATTCCTAAATAAGTGGAAACTATTGATGGTAGCAAAATTTTCTTCTGAGGTCAGGGTTAATAGATAGCAGAATATGGTAATCTGCTTTGCTTCTTCTTCTCAAGTTTTTCTTTTTTTTATAAATCACATCCTATGAAAACATTGAGCTTTTTTTCAAAGTAATTTTTATGAACATTTTTTTCATAAGAACAGGAAGTAATAATTACATTTGAATGACAAAAAGTAGAGATGGTTATTCCCTATATGCACTGTTCTGCTTACTTTTGAAATGTTGGTTTCATTTAGATGCAGAGACTATCAGCTTTGGTAGCAATTGGCTAGAATCGGGGCTGGAAGTGGTGACCATCAGTGGAGTTGAGTGTATCAAAATCGTGAAGCTGGTAATTGCCTCCATGAGCATGGACTTCATCTGCAAGATAAGCAAGGACATTAGGATTTTCTTGACTCATTATTCTCAGTGTAAAAGCTTCCATTGGCTATATAGCATGATTGGTTTCTGAAAACATTTTCATCTTATATTTGAAGCTGCTTAAAAGTTATTATAAAATTGAAGTCAAGATAACAAATCAAGAAGTCTCTGTTTTCACACAGATTTTGCCAAGTCTCCTGTCTGTTTCAGGATGGGCCAACTAACAGTACTGTAGTCATAAAGGGCTCAGGTGAACAATTTAGAATTTCTCTTTTATGCTTTTTGTGTTTTCAGGGATACAGACCTCAT